GCTGATTGGTTTGACATAGTAGAGATACAGCAAATGTTCAATATTGAACTTAAAAAAGAAAGCAGATTAACAAAAAGCAACAGTACGCTAAAGCTAATTAAAATGATTTCAGAAAAGGCTGCATAACTCCAGGAAAGAAGTACAAAGAAAAATGAAAAATGTCGTGCTGAACCACCATGTAGCTGAGGACTATTTTTATGTTTAAAATTGCAACCAAAAGAAATTGGAGCATTCTTTGCTTAGTGCACATGGGTGTAGCTTCTTATAGTCATTCAGAGGGGCTGTATGACTGATTTTTTCCTAACCTCAGCCTTGAAACTGCAAAAGCATAAGTCTTGAAAGATGCAGCCAATTATGGTATGCTCTTGCAGCGCCAATTGGAAAGTTAGCTTGACATTTAGAACAAAATGCAACACAAAGGGAGATCAGGTTCTCAATAAATAGAAGGCTTTAGCTGAGGCATCATTTTTAATGTAACAAGAATGATAGCAAATGTTTCTGATTTGTTTCTAAGAAAGAAACAGGCTTTTTGGAATAGCCTTCCATGGGAGGTGGTGCTCTCCCCTACCTTGGGGGTCTTCAAGAAGAGACTGGACAAGTACCTGGCTTGGGATCACATGACCCCCCAGCACTTTTTCCTGCCACTGGCAGGGGGTCGGACTCGATGATCCATTGAGGTCCCTTCTGACCTAACATCTGTGAATCTATGAATCCATTTGTTTTGCAAAGACTGACCTGCATTGTACTTTTATCCAGCAGAATAATCTTATTTCATTTGAAACAGATCCGTTATATATTATACCTTGAATCTATCCCAAGACATTCCAGTTTTGCAGCTCCTAAGTGTTTATATGCAAAGCTCCCCCACTGCCTCCCATTTAGTCCTGATTTGGTTAAGCAAGTGGATTCAATGGCCGCGTCTACACAAGATACTGACTGTGCAGTTGTTGACTTGCATAACCGCTGACTGTGCAGTTGTTGACTGCACCGACTTGCATAACCAAGTACTAAATGACTGTGCAGTAACCAGCATTACTGTGTAGTACTGTCCTGGTATGGCTGCCTAGTGATGCTTACTGCACAGTAGCTCGTTGTTACTGTGTAGTAGCATCACATCACAGTTCATGCCCGGTGATGCTACTGTCTAGTAGTAATGAGCTACTGTGCAGTAAGCATCTTGTGCTGATGTGGCCAGTATGATTTAAAAATTAAGCAAAGGATAATGTGCTTTGCTGAATTGGGAGCTGTGTGCAACCTTGAGGGCCAATATGTTCTCAGCCTTCCTCCGTATGATCTCATATTGATGAACTTTTACACTGCAGCAGAGCTACCGAACTACGAGTATTTTAATTTGCAAATATTTTCATATTGTACATTCAAAAATAACTATTTAGCTGGTTAGTATGTTGCTCTCTGCAGCATAGAAACAGCTGGTTTTGCATAAGCATTAGAATTGTTTCATACAAATAATGCACTGGATACATTGAAAACCATTAAAGAAACAAGGCTTACAAAAATAACAAAATAAACCCTTTAGCTAATAGGATGACAGCAGTCACCTTTTCTCAAAATTGCTCCGAAAAGAGAAAATTTTGGGTTCAAAGACTGTCCAAAAGGCTTATGGTGAGGTTTTGCACTTTCAGAAGCTTCCACTGAAGACAAAGACAGTTTTTCTGTTCATTTGAATGGAAGCAAATGTAGGACCCTTGCTTCTCTTGTATATCAGTGGTCACCAACTGGTTGGGTAGCCCCTGACAGTCAATCTCAGACTGGAGGGACTAGCTCAGTCAAGCTTGGGGGGGAGTGGGGGTGGTGGACACAAGGAAAAGTGCAGCCCTGGGACTGAGGTGAGTGGCTGAGCTTTTCCAGTCCTGGGGCTACAGTTCAAATGTGTACAGACATTCATTAGATTGGGCTAAACTGTTCCTGATCTAACTTAATTCACCTCCTCAGGTGAAATAAGCTAGATCGGGCTGGTCATGTTTTGCCTGATTTAACCTCCTGTACAGATCAGCACTTAGACAGATCTAGCTCTAATTAGGTCAGTCCAAGTGTAATGTCTGAACATTCCTTCAGATACTGCTATGGCCCCTGTGTGCATACATATATTATCTTAGGGGACTGAGTTGTCTACTGTTGAAGTTGCTGATATGTACCCTGTACATCTTAACTGCTGAATGATTTTAGTCAAACATCAGCATCTTCACAAGCCTGTGTAGGCAGGATTACAAGAAGTTCCACCTTAAAACTATCTGCTGATAATAAATTGTAGAGCCTGACAGCATAGGTGTTCTCCATTTCTGCTCCACCAAGCAAGTTAAAAATGTTCCGGAGAAGAGGAAGGACAGTTATTAAAGTTTAGTTGATTGCATGGTTAAGCAACCCTCAGTGTTTGCCCTTTGGTATTTGCATAAGTAAAGGGCAGTTCAGCTAGAGAGATAGAAGCCCCTTGATAAAAGCAACCTCATCAGGACAGGAGAGGGCAGTGAGTTGTTCATGTAAGTTATGCTGGTTTTATTTACCAGTTTGTAGTTTCAGCGCCTGAAAAACGCTTGAGCTGATCCAGCTGGAGGACACCATATTAAAGTCTATGAACTATGGTGTAGCTACAAGGGGTATGTCTATGCTGCTTCTAACTGTGCTGATGGGGGGGGGAGGCATATCACAACGATATGCCAACACACGTTAAGAGACATGAGAGACATGCCTGAGGCCTCAGATCTTCTGGGCTATGGAAGAACGATGCCAATGTCCCCCAGCACTGCCCACCGTGGTTATGATTGCATTGCATCTACACATTCTCTCCTGC